TCTTGGTTTTCGTGTTTTTCCGGTTGTGGTGGTTTCAGGTTCAGATGATGATAGCGGTATTCAGGTCCGGCTCCTAGGAGTTATACATTGGTTTGAGTTTATAGCTCGGGTAGTACCCGAGAAATGCGAGACGAGAGCTCACGAGTTCAAAAACTTGGAAATTTTGAAAGCTGCCCAGGCCATAGCGTCGCTATGGCCAACCATGAAAGCGGCGCTGCAAGCTGAACGATGGGCTGCAGGACAAGCAACTTCAACCATAGCGGCGCTATCCCCATAGCGCCGCTATGCCCTGTTTTGTAACAGCGGCTATTTTCTCGGGATTTTGAATTGGAGGGTTAAGGGATCGCGTTTCCTTCACTTTTGAACATTCCCAGACCTCGTTTTTTGATATCTTTTCACCCTAGAACATTACTTTTTCTTAATCTTTCATTTTGGATTGAATTTTGAAGGATTAAAACTTATTTTCTAGCTTTGGATTCAGTTTGCTCGTTGATTAATCGACTTTGGATTTGGTATTGATCGTAAGCTTTTCTTTTCATCTTATACATGAATGTGATGGCTTCTTTTATGGTGAATGCTTGTGTTGATATTGTGATGAGTGGCTAATTCCATAAGTTAGGGATAGGGGACGATTGTTTCGGTTCGTTTTCAATTACGTGTTTGATAATTGTTCAATCCTCGCGAGTTGTGCATATTCTAGGGCTAGTTGATTGATCACCAATCTAACCTAATCAATCGACGTTTAGAACCGAAAGGAGAGGCGTCGGTCGATTTAGGCTCGTTTGGAATAGATTTGTTCGTTATTGTATTGTCTATGAGTTGTAGGGTTTGATGAGTTGCTCGTGTATGTTCACCTTCTTATTACGAAGAGTTATTGAAGGTGAACCTCCATACGAATAAGCGATTCGAACCCCTTAACCGAGCAATTGATTGCCCAGTAATTGAGTCAAGAACCGAAAACGATTGTCCCCGACTCCCTAACTCCTAATAATCAAGTTAATTGTTTACTTTGAATTTTCGTGTCCCTTTGCTTTATTATTCGTAGTTGATAATCAAATCTCCAACTTGAATTAGAGTGTTTAGGAAATTCTTTTCTCTTTTATTGTGATCGAATATTTGTACAAATAATCCGGCTAACCTTCCTTGTGAGACGACTTGGTGTCGAATCTTTGGGTTCTACTCCGGTTAAAAATATTTACAACAAATTGGCGCCGTTGTCGGGGAAGGTTTAGGACTTATTTTGTGCGCCTATTCATTTTGTTTCAGTGTTTCTCTTGTTTTCGTAATTTCTTGATTTTTGTGTTTCTCTTGTTTACCTCTTTGTCTAGTTCTAGTTATTTTCTTTAATTTGTTTTTCCTTGTTTCATTTTGTTGTCTATCTGGTGCCCGTGACA